GCATCCTAGTTCCCTTCCCTACAGCAGCTATTAGGGGTAGTATAATTTACTTTTCTGAAGATTGACCAATATGTTGTACCATTTCTCAAAAATCTTGGTTGGTTTCTCCTTATCTGGGATACAATATAAACTCCTTAACCACCTAGGAGGATTTTCGTCATCTAACCCCTAGCTTTCCAGTGTTATCTTCCTACCTTGCTTTACTTCTGTAGCTGTTGGCTAAAACTTTGTTTGGCATTCCCCTATTGCCAGAGCCACTTTTTCATTCTTCCTGCCAAGATTCTGCTTGAATATATCATGAAACTTTCTCCATTCTCCCTACATGCTTCTTTTTGAGGTTCCAATAGCATCTTATTTAAGCAGTTAATTGCTTTAATTATAATAGGCCTATCTTCTCCATTTTACAGTGTACAAATGTATTCCTCTAAGCAGTTCCCAGTCCTCCTTCATTTTTCAAATGCCTAAGATCCTATCCAAATTCTTTGATTTCTGTCTGTGGCCATCTGGGGAAGTTTTATTTTTTATTTGGCTTAAATTTTCTTTTCTATTTATATTCAATATGGTGTAAAATATGTCTAAAAAGATCACTTAATAAAATTTTGTTGTCATCTACTTAATTTGAATAATTCCTTCTTCTACCCATGGAAAAAATAATATTCCGTGAGTGTAAGGTTTTCTAAGGTTCATGGACTCTTGGCTTCAGGAAGTCTAGAAACCTACTGACATGGAATGTAAAATGTTGATTAGACCCATCCTATGGCTCTGGTGGTGTAGGGACATTATTTTCAACAGACTCTAAAAATCAGTGTGCCCAGAGCAATGTTTCCCAGTGTTTACTACAGACCATTTGGATCAGAATCTCGTACAGTGCCTGTTAAAATTAAGAAATCCCTGGACCTCACACTAGGCCTGTTGAATCAAGAATGTGAGATAGGGCATAAGAATCTGTATTTTATTTTTGGGTACTGGAGATTTAACCCAGGGGAGCTTTACCAGTGAGCTAAATTCCCAGCTCTTCTTAATTTTTTTGTTCGATGGGGTCTCTTGCCAAGTTGCTGATGCTGGCCTCAAACTTGAGATCCTTCTGTCTCAGCCTCCCAGGTTGCTGGCATTACAGGTGTGTTCCATCATGCCTGTTCTTAGAAACCTGCATTTTAAATTTACCAACTGATTCTTGGGCATTCTAAATTAGATTATGGTAGACTCAAGGAGAAATTAACTCAAAGTAGTTTTTAAAAAATGTGATTAATAGTAACTAATTACATATTATCTTCCAAGTGCTTTTCTAAATGTTATATAGATTAACTACTTAAATGAACATAAAGGTCATGTTATTCAGAGTGAGGAAATGGCAGAGAGATTAATAAGTACATCAAAGACACATGACAAACGATGAAACTAGAGAAGCAAAAATGCGAACTCAGTCTGACTCCAGAGAACAATTTTCTAATTGCTACCCTACCTGTGTCTTTCTAAAGGCAAAACATTTTACTAGTTTCTGTCAGTTTTTGTTTCATAGTTTAACAAATGTTGATTCTTATATTTACTGTTACTGAAAGCTTCACTTTTTTAAGGATAGCTTAAAGAATCAAGAAAATATATCATCTGGAAAACAAAGCTAAAGTAACAACAAATGGGGATGAATATCTGAAAAAATTATATAATTTATACCAGAAAAAAATTGAGCTTTCATGATTTAAAATTTTAATTAAATCCTGCGTTTTGGGGAGATCATCTATTCAATGTTCATCATTGTGATCCCTGACATGTAAAGTATACTGTTTCATCTTTCCTAAACTGATATTGGGCATTGAACCCTAGGTTCACACTTGCCTACTACTGAGCTATATCTCCTATCCTTTTTTAAAGAATTTTCAATGACAGTTCCCAAGGCTATTGTCAAACTTGGAAACCTCCTGCCTCAACCTCCTAAATTGCCCAGCTGTAAGCTAATTTTAGCCTTAAGATTACAAAAGGTAACTTTCTAGTTTTCCAAACATTACTATTAGGTAGTTTTTAGGTTAATAAAATTTATTTCTATACAAAAGGAGCATGCTTATTTAACTTCTTATAAAGAATATTGTTAAGAAACCAGTTTAGAAAAAACTAGTCCAAAACCAATCAGCTGGTTAACAATAGAGTAAGGTGCTGGATCACTAATTTGACATTTTTGTCTACTTTAATATTTCCCATAGCTGTCTGTGTTTTAACATGCTATCATAAAACCAGGTTGTGGGCTGAAAAATGTGGCTCAATGGTAGTGTGTTTGCCTAGCATGCATGAGTCCCAGGATTCAACCCCAGTACCACCCCAACCAAACAAACAGGTTGTGCTTTATATTGACGCTCATCACTGTGAAAAAGGACCACCACACTGATTAGCAATTTATTATTCATACCTCAGAATAGTACTTAAGCCAGGGATGGTCCCTGAAATCCCAGAGACTTGGGAGGCTAAGACAAGAGGTTTGCAAGTTCAAGGCCAGCCTCAGCGCAAAAGTGCTAGGGATGAAGCTCAGTGGTAAAGCACTGCTGGGTTCAAGCTCCTATACTGGAAAAATGAAAATAGAATAGTCCTCAGCACTTCTCAGTGGTTTTTTTTTTTAATTTTTTAAAAATTTTTTAGTTGTAGTTGGACACAATACCTTTGTTTTATTTATTTTTATGTGGTGCTGAGAATTGAACCCAAGGCCTCAAACAGGCTAGGTGAGGGCTCTACATCTAAGCCACAGACCCACCCCCATTTCAGTGTCCTTTAAATTTATCTTTTTTAATATTGGGGATTGAACCCAGGGTCACTACATCCTAAAACCCATTTTTAAATTTTTGAGACAGGGTCTCACTAAGTGGCTCAGGGTCTTGCTAAGTTAGAGAGGCTGTCTTTGGATTTGTGATCTCCTGCCTCACTCTCCAGAGTTCTTGAGATTACAGGTGTGAGCCACCATGCCTGGCTACTTTAAATGTTAAAACAAAAATTCTGGAGATGTAAATACTAAACCCAGCAATTACATTTTGTGTTTATAATATAGGATAGCACCATCTATATCCTATCTATTCCAGAACGAATTATTTATAAAGTGTTGTTAAGTCTCTGAAGGAATGTCAGGTTTAATTTTTTCCACTTTCCTAAATCAGAGATTTTTATTCTTTTAAAAACATTTTGTTCTTAATCATACTTTCAGTCTTTTAACTTCATGTCCTCTTTTTTTTGGCCCTGTCCCAGATTTTCTAAATCTAGTATTCCTTACACAATACTCCCCTCATTTCTCCCAAAACTTCGGGTGTTAACTTTTTTACTGAGAAGCTAACACTTTTTGTGTGATTACTATGTAATAGTTACTGTTCTAAGTGCTTGACATAATTAATCCTCATAATAACCCCCACAAAATAAGTACTGTTATTACTCAGATTTTAGATGGAAAAAACTGAGGAACAGATACCAAGTAACTTACCCCAAAAGTCACAGGTACTAGTGATGGAGCTGGCTTAGGAATTTGAGTAGTCTAACTATAGTCTGCCCTTACTACTCATCTGAGTTCAGTTAACTCAAAATTCTCCTGGTGGCTGGGGATGTAGCTCGGTTGACATACGTTAGACAAGCTCTATACAGACAGCCTAGTCTGGACCAGTCCACAAAAACAAAACAAAACAAAACAAAACAAAAACCCCAACAAACAAAAAACCACAAAAATCTCCCTGGTGAGTTAACTCCAAACCTGTATGCCTGTGTTTTCTACTTTAGCAGAAAAGAAGTATTGGTTTAGGCTCTGAAGTCAGAAAGGCTGGGTTGAAATCCTGTGACTGTGTAACCTTGAGAAAATTAATTTTCCTCATCTCCAAATGTGAATACAATTTATCACATCAGGCTGTTGAGGAGTAGGGAAATAAGTACAAATAAGGTGCTCAGAAATGTACCTTAGTAAGTAGTAAGTGTTACGGTTATTTTTAACTTACCTCAGTATAAGACAAACAAGAAAGTAAACTGGCATGTTACCCTGAGGAAGCAGCTGTAAACCAGAGGTTGAGAACAAATACTGACCTTAAGTTGGTTTGGGTTCACATCGGTATCCTTTAGAAAGCTGACCTAGAATTTCAGCATATTCACCTGTGATATTGAGAGAACAGTACTACTTAAGGATTAGATGAGGTGATACACAGCTGTTACTTGGCAAGTGTTTACTATGGATCCACGCTACATCCCTAACATAATGTTTAATGAATAAACAGGGGCAGTGGTAACGCTTTTTTGTGCTTCCCTTCAGTATATTCTCATTTTCTTCCCTGGTATCATCCTGAGTATTTTTAGGTGCACTAACAATATTTTTCAATTATGAAGATCAGAAAACTATAAATAAAATTGTAACTTTGTTACCACTTACAGTCATCACTTACCTACTAGCAATCATAACAAATTTTCAGTAAAGGGAATATGAATATTAACAGCAACCACTGTAAGTCACCACCACAAAGGGAGAAATGGAACTTTTGCCTTATTTACCACATGAAAGACTACTAGAAAGTATTCACAAATTGCTATAATTTAGGTATATCTTTTTCTACTTTTAGCTAAAGTTCTTTATTCCCATACTTTTACCACAGAATGTGCAAAATTCAGTTTAACCTTAAACCCACATATTAATAAAAATCCTACTCAAGAATTGTAGGTGGGTAAATGAAATATACACCAGAACTATTTTATAGGTCATGTTACAAATAAGATGACTGCCAGAGTTGCATTCTCTTAATGTGAAAAGTTATACAAATAAGTTTCAGTAAAGTTCCACAATCAGCTGGGAAATTTTCTTAGGCTAATACCTGACAAAATATTGGAGAACTTTTTTTCAACACTCTTTCTCCAAGCATCTTCATACTGCTCCCTCAGTTCCTTAGTAAGACTTTAATGTAAATCAAACAGCATATAAAATTAATCAATAACTCAGGCAAAATATCCCTGTTGACAAACATTTTGAAAGATTATATAGTATACATAAATACAATCACTTCAGTTAAAACAAAAATTTATTGATCTAAAATTATTACCAAAAACCTTATGTAAGTTCAGGAAAAACTTTACTTAAGCTTAATGCTCTTTTTAACTCCTGCACGAATGCCAGATAATTCACCACTATAGCGTTGCTCTTCTTTACGAACTTCTCGAACCTGGCCTCTTCTTCGAATTTTGGCTCTTCTGAACTTCTCCCTATGTTTCACTCTGGGATTGCGATCGATTTTCTTTCTTCTAGGTGTAAGTCCCCTATTTTTGGCAATCTGGTAGGTAATGGCTCTCTTTACATTTTGATCTTCAAGAGCCTGTTCTTCAATGCTATTTTCTTCTATCTTTCTCTTAAACTTTTGCCTGTCATCCATTTCTTTGTAGTATTTCAATGCATCTTCTTCATCAATATCGGAACCATCAGAGAGATCTATAGCTGAAGCAGCAGAAGCCTCTGAAACAGATTTTGGCTTGGCCTTGGTGAATTTTGCTTTTGCATTCAGTTCTTTCTTTAAAGCATCACCTTTGAGTAGATGACGAATTTCAGAGGACAGCCTCTGATCCACAACTGACAGTTTGTTGATTAGATTTCTGTAGGTGACAAGCCTTTCTATGACAGGATGTCCATGTGCAGGGGCTCTTCTAGCTTTTAGGATCAAATAAAAACTGATGTTGGAACAATAGTTCAGGTAGAGGTTATACTTGATTCTCAGATATTTGCTTCCTTTTCCGGATGGAATAATCCGTTGTTCCACCAACTGTAACAATGGCTCCAGCTCATCCTTCATTTCTGTCAACTTGACTTTCAGGTCTTCTATTAGTTCCAAGAGCTCTGGTGATTCCTTTCGCAACATCTTCAGCTTCTCTTTCACTGAAAGTTTAGCCAAATCTTTCACGACCCGTGTCTCAGCCTCATCTACCTCAGGCACTGGTTTTGCAAAGGCCTCCACCCAGGCAACTCCAAAATCATCCTCTTGTAGGGCCTGGGCTAGACGCCGCTGAATTACCTTTGCCTCCTCCTCCTCCTCTCTTTCCTCTTCCTCTACTTCTTGTTGACTCTGCCGACCCCGGGATTTGGAACCATAGTCTGTGTCATAGTAAAGTTTTTTCCTCTGACCCCACGACAAACTGGGATCCACGGAAGCCTCATTTTCACTCTGCACGGAGCTTCCACTACCATCACCATCATCATCATCATTTTCCTCATCCCCCTCACTCTCTCGATCTTCGTCGTCAGTGTCTAAGGCCAGCACCTCCTCCTCCTCATCACTGTCCTCCTCATCCCCACTCTCAACCTCGCTCCAGCGCTTGGCCAGGGCTGCCAGAGATCGTGCCTCATGAAAATCATCTACCTGATCCTGGTAGTAGCTAGAGTCTCCAGGTGAGGGTGGCGATCCTAAATCTTCATTTTCATACGCGGTGGTGCCACTTGCCTTGGCTTGCACAGCTGCCCATTTGGACGCTCCCCGCCGCCGGGATCTCCCAACCATGGCTCTCCCTCGGCTTCACGTTCTGCAGCGACACCGGGATTTCGGCCACTCTGGCCTCGGCACACGAACCACACGTTCTAGCAGCAAGCAGCTTTAAACCGCCGCGGGCCTCTTACCACGCGACTTTACTGACGTCCAGATCGGCTTCTGGAGTTCTCACTTCCTTCCGGTCCCAGGATGCTCTCCGCGTGGCGTGTCAACTAGGACTTCCGGTCGGTCCAGTAAGCCTAGTCACAGTGATAGCGCTTTCCTTTTCGCGGTGTCCTCTTAATGCCAGTCGATTCCGGCGAATTAAAATCTTTCCGTGTAGGAACAACATGTTGAGGAAATTCCGTTCCGCAGAGCCCTATCTGGAGATTTCCGTACTTTATCTCGCGAGCCTGGGCGTGGCTGGGGAGGGAGGGTTCTGAATCGTGACAGCTCCATGAGGCGAGTTCGCACTGGCCAGTAAAGGGCGCAGTTCCCCCACGTCCAGGACCGGCGTATTCCTGAGCACCCACAGCCTGAGGCGGAGGCGCCAATGGGCTACTAAATCCTCATGGCCGCGTCGCCGCGAGAGCGAAGGCTGGTGGTCTCTGGGCTGAGCTCATCTTGCGTCTCCCTGCCCGCAGGTCTCAGTGCCCCACTCCCTAAAGATTTGAAAATCCTAGGTGACCTAAGGGGTGACGGTGGGAGTCAAGCACCGCTATAGGGCTTGACTCTTCCTGAGGAACTCCGGTGGGTTCCCGGGGTCTATTCTTTTATTTAGGGGAAAAGGCATTTCCTTGAGCTGGAAAAACATGAACATGGTCTTCCAAGATGCTTGGGAAATCATATTCTAACTTTCAGGGGCAGACTGTATTTATTAAAGAATGGATCCCTTATTATTTAGAGTGGAGTTGTAACATTTAGTCAAAGTGCATAGAGTGCGGCTTTTTCAACGTAAAGCGCGAAAGGCATGCCGGCCAGCATATCTGGTAGTGAGAGAACAGTGGTGACTAAAGCAGATGTTGTTCCCGCTCTTGGATTCTGGCAGGGGACTCACATTCATCGACGAATCCTAGAGAACATGTTAAATTATGATTGGGGTACGTACTGTGAATACATAAGCACACATTCCTGGGTTAGCCAGAGTTCAACACTGAAAACTCAACATAGTGTTTATGTCCCTGTACTTACCAGCCACATTTAAAAGGATTTGATATTTCTGCCCAAATTGGGGGAATTTTAGCTATACTTTTCTTTTTGATCTCCAGTTGTTTTTCTCTCAAGTTCCTTAATAGCACTGGGTGGATCTTAGATTTCAATCATCTAGTTCAATGCTTGGCATAGAATAGGTTTTCAGTCAACAAATAAGTATTAAAATAACAGTATTTGATTACCTGTTTTAGGTGCTATATAAAGCTGAGTGAATGAATAATAAATGCACACAATTATAAACATGTTTAAGGGAGATAACCTGAGCTAGAACGGATTTCAGGAAAGATTATTATTATTTTTTTTTTTAAAGAGAGAGGGAGGGGGGAGAGAGAGAGAGAATTTTAATATTTATTTTTTAGTTATCGGCGGACGCAACATCTTTTTTGTATGTGGTGCTGAGGATCGAAATGAGCCGCACCATACCAAGCGAGCGCGCTACCGCTTGAGCCACATCCCCAGCCCTGGAATGATTAATTTTGACTTTAATTTTATACATGTGGAAACAGAATCTTGGCAAAATTACATAAAGAAATCCAACACAGAAACCAGAGACAGATCCTACACCAGACTTTCCTTTGCCTCTTTACATAAGTGAGTGAAAGTGTAGGTAAGTCTATGTTCTTTTCCAGAGGGTAGATTTTGCTGGTGGATGATAAAACCCCAGGAGCACAGATTAAAGTATTTTGAAGAAGGTGGTAATAAGGGAAGAATTAGTCAAAATGGTCTTCAGAAGTATTGTCAGGGCTAGAGATACAAAAGAATTGCCTTGCAATTTAATGTTTAAGTTTACAGACATTGCATATGATGGGTTCAAAATTAATAATACCTTCACATGTTTTGGAAGCTGAACTTCTGGTGACATACCATTTCTTTGCAGAAAGTATAGTGTCATTAGAAAAACAATACAAAATTTAGAAAAGGGACATTTAGAATTAATGTTTTAAAATTGCTTAATGGTGTCTTCAGCATTCTTAAACATGTATAAGATTTTACAAAATACAGTTTAATGAATAGAAAATGTGAGTAGAAATGTACATGACATACTTTTAAAAATTTCTTTTGGCAGTGGGATAGAACTCAGGGCACTTTACCATGGAGTTATATCCCCAACCCTTATTTTTTTTTTAAATTTATTTTCAGACAGAGTCTGACTAAGTTAATGAAGTTGGCTTCAAACTTGTGATCCTTCTGTGTCAGTCTCCAGAGCTGCTGGGATTACTGGTGCATGCCACCATGTTGGGCTATGAAGTTAATTTTTGAATGTTAAGTTTTAATTTTTATCATTCAGCATATATTAGCTACTTACTATTTGTAGCACAATATATACTGTAATATGTCCAAAAACAAATTAGTTACAGAGCATTTATTGAAGTAGAAAGAAGACATGGCCTCAAAGAGCACCCCAAGTGCCGTTGGTTTCAATCCCCAGTACTAAAACAAGGTAGAAAAGAAAACACATATACAGCCAGGCATGGTGAAGGATGCCTGTAATCCCAGTGGCTGGGGAGGCTGAGGCAGGAGAGTTGCAAATTCAAAACCAGACACAGTAATTTACCGAGGCCCTAAGCAACTTAGGGAGACCCTATCTCAAAATAAAAAATAAAAAGGGATGGGGATGTGGCTCAGTTGTTTAGTGCTCCTGGGTTCAATCTCCAGTACCAAAAAACAAACTATCACAAAAAAATCCCAATAACACACATATACAGATTACTAAAATAGGGCAGGGTGTGTCTTAAACCCAGTGCTATAAGAAACTTCTAGGTTGTTACTTTGGGAATATTGCTTAAAGAATGTTGCATCTAAACTATGATTATAATTATATACTTGCTCTAAATATGTTAAATTTTTTTATACCTAAATATTATTTTATTTAGTTACATAAAAGAAATACCAATTGCTCTGTTCATTTTTATGCAAATTATTTAAGAATTTATAGTCATATTTGGACCAGAATACACATTTTATTATATGTAAGTTGGAAACTATTTTGAATATTTTAATTGGGAATGATCATATTGCTCTAATATTATTTAGTTAGTTTACACTAAGTTTTATATTTCCTATCTAAATAACAGAGTTTCAATATTTAATGAATGTTCAGAAAGTGTTATATTCTAACAGTCTTACTTTTAATAAAGAATAGCTTAGAAATCAGTTCTTCAATTCTAGCAGTTCCGTTGTACCTTTCCTAAGTCTAATATGAGAATTATTGAACACTTAGGTAAAGAATTTTTGTTGTTGAAAATTTGTATTTTTGAATAGATGGGTTTATGGCTTTATGATATCATAAGCCTATGAAAATTAAAAAGAAAAACACTGAGTCTCCATAGAAAATGAATAAATACTGATTAACATTTGACAGTTAGCTCTTGTGTGTGTGTGTATGTGTGTGTATATATATATATATATATATATATATATATATATATATATATATATATATTTGGTACTGGGATTGAATTCAGGGTCACTTGACTACTGAGCCACATCCCTAGCCCTATTTTGTATTTTATTTAGAGACAGGGTCTCACTGAGTTGTTTAGTGCCTTGCCATTGCTGCGGGTAGTTTTGAATTCACAATCCTCCTGCCTCAGCCTCTGAGCTGCTGGGATTACAGGCATGCACCATTGAGCCTAATTTAGCTATTATATTTGTGGCATCTACAATTTGTCATTAACTTGAATGATTATTTTTATGATGTGTGACTCAGGAGTTAGCAAACTACACATAATGGAGACCAACAAATTTCCTTTTTGCCTTACTCTAAGCCATTTAAGGTATTGTCTTATTGTGAAAGATAGGATTCTATGAATTACACATAATGTGATACTTGGGTACTTCCCTAAGGGCATGTATTCTGGGTGTTGAAAGCATTCCACCAGATTTGTTTAAATTGATCTGTATTTCTTCCTGGACTATTGAAACAATAATATTGTTAGCTAACATTAAGAGTAGTTATAACATGCAAGGTTCTGTCATAAAGTCTTTATAGTTAACCTGTGGAAGAAGTACTATTATAATCTCTAATTTGTACCTGAAGAAATGGAGGCACATAGAACTTAAATGATGTGGTGACACTGGTAAGTGGTAGAAGTAGATTTGAACCCACACAGTACCAGGCATGGTAGTAGGAGAATAGTAAATTCATGCCCAGCCTCAGCAACTTAGTGAGGCCCTGTCTCAAAAAAAAAAAAAAATAAAAATAAAAAAGTACTGGGGATATACCTTATTAGTAAAAGTGCCATTGGTTTCAATCTCCAGTACTAAAACAAACACACCAGTATTAGCTCTAGAATCCATGCTGTTCTATAATTACTGTACTGTATTGGCTTTCAAATATTCCCTTATTAGGTCTCCTAATTTTTAGTGTCTGTGCTATATTTGATTCAATATCTTCCTAGTATCAGTATCAGAAGTTCCAGTATTTTCCATTTCTGTCAACTCCATACCCTAGTTCAAAAACATTTAGTAACTCTCATTTCATATCAAGATAAAATTCACAGCATACATGGCCTTCCTAAAATCTTGTCCCACAACATCCTTTCCATCCATACCTTTCATTAATTCCCTAAGAAAACCTTTCATACTAACCTAACTACTCTACTTCTCTACTCTCCAAACATTGTAATTTACTTCTTTATCACTTTATTCATTTTTTCTACATTCAGTAGTGATCTGTGTCAGATATTTATAAATCATTACAGATAATGTTTTGGTTTAGAATTCTCATTCATGTCTATTTATAAGGGGGTCTTTATTAGGATCTTTGAAAAGATTTTTTTTTTTTTTGGTAGTAGGAATTTGGAGATAATCTGCATGACCATCCCTGGAAGAGTAGTTCAGTAAAATGTCACAGATGAACAATATGGATTTTAGGAGCACAGGATGACCATGGTTTTGATTTGCCCTGGACAGCCCTTTAAAACTGTTATTCCAGTGTAATTATTGAGAGCACCTTTCACTTTTATGGTTCAGATGATAAATTTTATGGTC